TAGGCTTGGGATCTCTCTCATGGCATGGGTCGAAAGTTAAACCAAACATTGATGTGGAAGAAATGGTCTTCCTGAGGGATGAGGTCCCCTAATTGGTTATCCAATAGAAAATGCTCAGTCCTGCAATCATACATGAACAACTACCAATAATGGCCTGAGTAGGTTATGTTTATATATTTAGGAATTTACATGTGTATATGACAATAACAATCAAGAGGCCATGATTTCAAGGAGGATTGTGTAGGGATTTTTTATATGAGGGATTGGAAAGAAGAAAGGAAAGGGGAGATATTTTAAATCAAAACTTTTAATAGATCTGATAACAATTTCCTTGAGTTTGAAGAAAATTTCATTTGAGAAAACATGCATACATATGGAGTAAAATTTGATATTTTAAGAAATTTACACATTATATAAGAATATATAGCTGGGTGGTGGTGGCACATGCCTTTAATCCCAGCACTTGGGAGGCCGAGGTAGGTGGATTCTGTGAGTTTGAGACCAGCCTGGTCTACAAGAGCTAGTTCCAGGACAGCCTCCAAAACCACAGAGAAATCCTGTCTCGAAAAAAAAAAAAACCCAAAAAGAAAAAAAGAATATATAAGAGTTGTTTAATCTAAATATATAGTACAATTGATATACAATATATTCCATATTATGAAATATAAAATGCATAAACACATAATTATAATGGTACTTTATAGTTTAACCCTTATATATCACAGATTTATAATATATAGAAAATAGCAGGATAGAACTCCAGGAGAATCAAATACTTAATTGTAAAACATATACTCTTAGGGTGCTCTCCCTAGGATGTACCATTCACTCTATCTAGAATGCTTCTCACATCATTCTCAGAGTTTGAAGAGAAGATAATAATCTATAGTTATTTCATATTGTATACTGACTTCTGAAGATTTGGAAAGATACTGCAAAGTAAAAACAATCATGCTGCATTTGTGTTTCTGAGACTGGGTTACAGCACTCAATATAGTATTTTATATGTCCATCCATTTGCCTGTAAGTTTGATGATTCCATTTTTTAACAGCTGAGTACTATTCCTAGTCCAGAATGTATATATACATGACACTTTCATTATTCCTTCCTCAGTTGAAGAATATTTAAGTTATTTATATTTTCTAGGTGTTGTGAATAGAGCAGCAATGAATATTGTTGAACAAGTTTCTGGTGGATAAGATATCCAGTTCTTTTGGGATATACAAAGGAGTTGTATAGCTGGGGTATATATTTTTTGGGGTGTGGTTGTTTGTTTCTTTGTTGATGTTGTTGTTACTTATCCATACTGATTCCCAGAGGAGCTGCAGCCATTTACCGTCCTATGAACAGTGAATGACAGCTCCACTGGCTTTCTCCACATCTTGCCAGCATTTGTTTTCAGCTGTTTGGTAACCCTTGCCATTCTGACTGGGGTGTGATGAAATCTCAAAATTGTTTTCATTTGAATTTCCTTAATAACTAAGGATGATGAACATATTTTGATGCATTGCTTAGCCCTCATGATGTCTTCTATTGAAAACTCTCTGTTTATATGAGTCATTATATTTTTGACTTATGTATGGTGAAACAACCATGCATTGCATGAATAAAGCCAACTTGACTGTATGATCCTTGATATATGCTTATATTCAGATTGCTAGTATTCTTCTGAGGATTTTTGTATCTTGTATCTATGTTCATCAGTGATACTAGTTTGTGGTGTGTGTGTGTGTGTGTGTGTGTGTGTGTGTATGTCTCTCTGTGTGTGATCTTTTCATGTTTTTGATGTTAGAGAAAATATTTTGATACAACAACTTTGGGAGTTACCCTTATATTTCATTTTTTTTCTTTTTAAATATTGTTTAAAAAGGATTGGTTGTAGTTCTTCTTTGAAAGTGTCATATAATTCTGCTGTGATTTCATCTGTACCTGAACGGCTTTTAGTTGGAAGACATTTTATTACTGTTTATTTCTCCTCATGTTTTACAGATCTGTTTTGGCTATTGGTCTTTTCTTTGTTCAACTATTTTTTCTCCATTTTTAAATTTAAATTATAAACAAAATTGTTTTATATGTCAATCCCAAGTCTCTCTCCCTCCCCTCCTCTCCTATCCCCCACCCACTAACACCCTACCTATCCCATACACTTTCTGCTCCCCAGGGAGGGTGAGGCCTTCCATAGGGGGTCTTCAGAATTTGTCATATCCTTTGGGATAGGGCCTAGGCCCTCCCTCATATATCTAGGCTCAGGGAGTATCCCTCTATGTGAAATGGGCTCCCAAAGTTCATTCCTATGCTAGGGATAAGTACTGATATACTACAAGAGGCCCTATAGATTTCTGAGGCCTCCTCGCTGACACCCACGTTCATGGAGTCTGGATCAGTCCCATTCTTTTTTCCAAGCTATCACTCTGGGGACCAAGATCTCCCTCTTGTTCTGGTCAGCTGTTTCTTTGGGTTTCACAAGCCTGGTCTTGACCCCTTTGCTCATCACTCCTCCCTCTCTGCAACTGGATTCTAGTTCAGTTCAGTGTTTAGCTGTGAGTGTCTGCTTCTACTTCCACCAGCTTCTGGATGAAGGCTATAGGATAGGATTTAAATTAGTCTTCAATCTCATTATCAGGGGAGGGCATTTAAAGTAGCCTCTCCTCTGTTGCTTAGATAGTTAGTTGGTGTCATATTAGTAGATCTCTGGACATTTCTCTAGTACCTGATTGTTCATCTTTTTATTTTCTGTTCCTTTGGTATGGCTGTTATAGATATATAAGTACAACCATGCAATTATGTTCATTTTGTGTGGCCTCATTTTCTTCCAATAATATCTTCAAAATTCGTTTATGTTGTAGTGTGTATCCTTTCAAAGTGAAGAAGTGAAGAAGATTCCATCACATACATATACTACTTTGTTTAATATATATATGCATATATATATACATCATTTATGCCTTATATATTTTATACATAGTGATTCTGTGAACATTGCTCTAAATATTTACTTGAGCCTCTGTTTCAAATTATGTAAGTTAATGTCTAGATAACAGAAATGCTATTAGAAACATGTAGAAACATCTTACAATTTTAACACAGTGGCAGAATACAAAATAATCTTACAAATATTATCACACTGCATACACACACACACACACACACACACACACACACACACACACACAAACATACTGTGAAAGATATTATGGACATACTTCAATCTACAATAGCATGAAAGACAATAAATATCACAGAATAAACTTATCCAAGAAGATAAAAGTCATCTACAATGAAAATTTTAAATCTCTGAAGAAAGAGATTGAAAAGGTCCAGAATACAGAAATGCACTCAATGTTCTTAGATCATTGTAAATATAATTTTGGAAATATCCATTCTGCCAAAAGCAATTTATAATTTCAGTAAAATCCCAATCAAACTACCTACAACATTCTTCAAAAAATGGAAAAACATTTCTAAAATTCATATGGACCCAGAAAGGAACCAAGAAAACCAATGCAACATTGAACAAATTAATAATTAATAAAGAATATTACTACTACTATTAATTATAATTTTTGAGGGATTGCTATTCCAGACTTAAAGATATATTATATATAGAACAACAATAATAAAAACAATAAGATACTGGCACAGAAATAGAAATTTAGGCCAATGAAATACAACAGAAGACCTAAACATGTGTTACTTGTAAGCCCAGCCATTTGCTTTTTGACACAGAGGGAAAAAGCATACAATGGCGAAGAGATAACATCTTCAACAGTGGCTCTCAAAAACCTGCATGTTCACATATAGAATAATGATATTACTGCCATGTCTATCATCCTGCACAAAAATTAGATCTAAATGGGTCAAAAATATCAATTTGAAAATCAAAATGCTAAAAACTAAAATAAAAAAGGTAAATGCTAAAAGTGCTAGGACCTGATGGAGACATTCTGTTTAAACCCTCTGTCTTTCTGCATAATGTACAGCTGTGCATGTCTACATTGGATCCCATCTGTTTCCAGAGGAACCATCTCTGATGGTGACAAGGCATTCCCTGATCGATCAATCTGTCAGTATATTAGAATATCATTAGCAATCATTTCACTGATATTTTGGGCAATTGCTTATATCATTAGGAATCATTTCTTTAAAATTTTTGACAGTGGCTTTTGGTTCTACCCTAGGTCTCTGGGTTATGCAATCTCCAGTTCCTGGTCATTTGGTCAGTAGGACATGGGGTGCACATCAAGCTAGAACAAACATTGATTGGCCACA